TAAGTGGTAACTGGGTCAGATCATAACAACGATTGTTGTGATAGCAACTAAAGTATACTGATGCAGATTTTTGGATTGTAACTTTTTTAGTTTTTTTATTAAGGAATTTATTTTGTAGTTTTAAACTCTGCAATTTTTGTAATGTGATCTAGCTATCAGTTTAATTGTAAACTATTTCGAAAAGTAAAACAAAGAGTTGTGGCATTTAGCCAATTGACTAGACAAAGTTTACTTAAAACTTTTCTTGTAGTTGTTTTTTATCTTCATAGTCTCATGACTCTCATCATATGAAATACTTTTCATACAGAACATATAATAAAACGAGCTAATAGATGACCAATCACCTCCAAGCTCGAGAAGGTGTTAAGGCATTGGGCCAATACAGTAGACATTCCTTACTTAACTATTATGCTAATGGTATAAACGATTTCATGTCTCAATCGACCATGTGATCTTTAACCCACAAACCTATATAATTCTATTAGTTTTCTAATTAATGGGTATAGCCTAGAAGTTTATATATATGGTTCTGATTTTTATTTTGCATAACGTTTACGTGGGAGAATTAGTGGAGGATTCAATGCAGACGCATAATCATATGTGCTTACAATTATACTACATGTTATTCAGGAGATCAAGGAAGGCAAGTGCATTAGTATTTCTTTTACTTTATTAAACTAACATGTAGTATAATGTTAATATATTCTTGCGTAGATTGCAGACTGTTTTAAATGTAGAGAACAAAAAAAAAAGTTTGATAGATTTACGAATAAGCTTAGTAGTAATCTTAAACATATCTTTATATTATTAATTGAGAAGTACATTCTAATGTTTGGATACAAGAATAAAAGAAACATCTATTTGGTAGAAGAATAAATGGAAACAAAAATTGTTTGAATATAAAAATAAGAGAAAAATCTATTTGGATAAAAGAATAAATGGAAAAAATTGTTTGGATACAAGAATAATAACTTAAAACAAACCGATGGTTTAGAAAACTTCCATTTTCCAGCTCTTAAAAAATTTGCAAAAAAGAAAAATTTGTTATAGTAAAGAAGGAGAACAAGAGAAGAGGAATTGGTTGTGTTCTTATTCCATGAATAATGAATCCTTTATATAGGAATACAAGTAGGGTTTAGCTTGGAGAAGAAGTACAACTTGGGGACAAAGTAAGAACATTCTAGAATTGGGCTTCGTAATGGGCATCCACTAAATAGCCCATAACACTCCCCCTTGGATGTCCATTAAAATGTGATAACTTGTAACGCGCATAAGAGCTACCTCATTAAAAACCTTACTAGGAAAACCCAATGGGAAAAACCATAGTTAAGGGAAAAAGAGTGTAGCGCGCAGTTACTCCCCCTAATGAGACATCCGTTGAGATCTTTGAGACGACGCAATCCAATCATGTGAGTTAACTTCTTGAAAGTAGTGGTGGGAAGCGCCTTGGTGAATAAGTCCGCCAAATTTTCACTTGAACGAATCTGCAGAACACGTACATCACCATTCTTCTGCAATTCATGGGTGAAGAAGAACTTTGGTAGAATATGCTTCGTTCTATCGCCTTTGATGTACCCATCCTTCAGTTGTGCGATACATGCAGCATTGTCTTCATACATGACCGTTGGAGCTTCTTTTCCTGCAGAAAGACCACAATCTTCTCGGATGTGTTGAACTACAGATCTTAACCACACGCACTCGCGACTAGCTTCGTGAATAGCTAAAATCTCTGCATGGTTAGAAGAAGTAGCTGCAAGAGTCTGCTTCATAGAACGCCAAGAAATAGCAGTACCTCCGCATGTGAACACATATCCAGTTTGTGATCGAGCATTATGAGGATCAGATAAATATCCTGCATCAGCAAATCCAATTAAGTCTTCCTTGCATGTGTTAGAGAAGAAAAGACCCATATCTTTCGTGCCTTGAAGGTAACGAAATATATGTTTAATCCCATTCCAATGCCTTCGAGTGGGACATGAGCTAAATCTTGCCAATAGATTTACTGCAAATGATATATCAGGTCTTGTGTGACTAGCAAGATACATCAATGCCCCTATTGCACTTAAGTATGGTACTTCAGGACCAAGAACATCTTCATTGTTTTCTCGAGGGCGGAAAGGGTCCTTTTAACACATCAAGTGACCTTACAATCATTGGACTGCTCAGTGGGTGCGCTTGATCCATAGAGAATCTTTTCAGGATTTTCTCTGTGTATGTTTTCTGGTGCAGTAGAATTCCATCTTTAAGATGTTCAATCTGCAAACCCAAACAAAATTTTGTTTTTCCGAGATCCTTCATCTCAAATTCTTTCTTCAGATAGTCCACTGTATATGAAATCTCTGCAGGAGTTCCAATAATATTCAAATCATCAACATATACTGCAATAATGACAAATCCTTGCCCGAATCTTCTTATAAAGATACATGGACTAACAGGGTCATTTTTATAACCTTCCTTTAACAAATACTCACTAAGGCGGTTATACCACATACGCCCTGATTGTTTCAATCCATAAAGAGATCGATTCAGTTTTATGCAGTATTGATTTCTGGATTCAGATTTACTGCTTCAGGCAGTGGGAATCCTTCTGGAACTGTCATGTAAATATCAGTATCCAGTGGTCCGTACAGGTAGGCTGTTACTACATCCATCAGCCGTAAGTCAAGTCCTTCTCTTATTGCCAAAGTAATAAGGAACCTGAACGTAGTTGCATCCACCACAGGAGAGTATGTCTCTTCATAATCAACTCCAGGAATTTGTGAGAAACCTTGTGCAACTAAGCGAACTTTGTATCTGGATATTTCACCATTTTCGTTCTTCTTTCTCACAAAAATCCATCTGTGTCCTACTGGTTTGACACCTTTAGGTATCGGACTACTGGTCCAAACACTTCTCTCTTTCCAAGAGATGTTCTTTCTGCACCTATTGCTTCATTCCATTTTGGCCAATCATTTCTTTGTGTACACTCTGCAATAGATGTTGGTTCATGATCCTCATCCATAATATCAATTGCTACATTGTATGCAAAAATTTCATCGACGTCGATTTGCTTACGGTTCCATGTTATTCCAGACATGACATAATTTGTTGAGATCTCTTCATTCTCAGGTACCTGAATTTCTGTCATGTGTAAAGTCTCTTCTGGAGATTTTTCATTCATAGTTTCCTCGATTTCACTTGTGCCAATTTCTGCTCCTTTTCTTTTTCGAGGATTTTTATCTTTGGAACCAATAGGTCTACCACGCTTCTGGCGTGCCTTAGACTCAGTAGCAATTTGATTATGTCCTTCTGAGACATTGATTCTAATCGGAGCATTTTCAGCTGGTATATGTGACTTAGTCACTCTTTTTGGGTCAGCAAATGCTTCAGGCAACTGATTTGCTAAATTCTGTAAATGAATTATCTTTTGGACTTCTAATTCACATTCTTTAGTCCGAGGATCAAGATAATTTAATGATAATTCATTCCAGCTAAGTTCTTTTCCCAGCTGTTTACTTTCTCCCCCTAATGTCGGAAAGACTGATTCATTAAAATGACAGTCTGCAAAACGAGCTTTAAATAGATCCCCTGTGGATGGCTCTAGATACTTAATGATTGATGGAGAATCATATCCAACATATATACCCAGCCTTCTCTGGGGTCCCATTTTAGAACGCTGTGGTGGAGCAATTGGGACATATACGGCACATCCAAAAATTTTGAGATGGGATATATTTGGCTCTTGACCCAGTATCAATTGTGATGGGGAGAACTTATGATTACTCGTTGGCCTGATGCGAATTAGTGTTGCTGCATGCAATATGGCATGTCCCCAAGCAGAGACTAGGAGTTGGGATCTCATAAGTAATGGTCTAGCAATCATTTGGAGACGTTTTATTAACGATTCAGCTAAACCATTTTGTGTATGAACATGAGCTACAGGATGTTCAACACTTATCCCAATTGACATGCAATAATCATTAAAAGCTTGAGATGTGAATTCACCAGCATTATCAAGTCGAATTGCCTTTAGAGGGAAATCTGGAAAATGTGCTCGTAGTCTAATCAACTGAGCAAGTAATCTCGCAAACGCCAGGTTGCGAGTTGATAACAAGGACACATGTGACCATCTTGTTGATGCGTCAATTAGAACCATAAAATATCTAAAGGTTCCACATGGTGGGTGAATCGGTCCACAAATATCTCCTTGTATGCGTTCCAGAAAATTGATTGATTCTGAGGTTATCTTGGCTGGTGAAGGCCTTATAATCAATTTGCCTTGTGAACAAGCAGCACATGTGAAGTCATTAGGCAGAATCTTCTGGTTCTGTAATGAATGTCCACACGAATTAGTGATTATCTTTCGCATCATTGTTGTACCGGGATGGCCTAACCGGTCATGCCAAACGATAAAGTTTTCAGTAAACTTCTGGTTTACTACAACATTTGCTTCGATTGTACTAATATTAGTATGGTACAATCCAGTGGAGAAAGCAGGTAGTCTTTCCACAATCTTTTTAGAGCCTTGGGTATTACTTGTGATATGAAGATATTCAACATCTCCTTCACTCATAGTTTCAATATGATATCCATTTTTGCGAATATCTTTGAAACTCAGTAAATTTCTGTTAGATTTAGGCGAGTATAGCGCATCAGAAATTTCGAGTTTTGTTCCCATAGGCAATACTATATATGCTCTTCCGGAGCCTTCAATTATATTTGCACTACCCATTACAGTGCTCACACTGGCTTCTTTCATTATCAAATGAGAGAAATATCTCTTAGTTTTCAAAATAGTGTGACTAGTTGCACTGTCTGCCAAGCATAAATCTCCACCATTCATTGTTCTTCAAAATAAATAAATAAGATAAATTAAAATCAAATAAGTAAATAACTTAATTAAATAATATTAAAAATAACAACTCATAAATTCGTAAAGAACAATTAAAAGAAAGCCAAAACACCAAAAGCCAAAAACCAATAAATAATGCAACAAATGTCTTGAAATAAAATAAATAAAATCAATTCTGCCCTGCAGGGGCAATGAGATCAGCAATTTCCATGTGAGTGGCCTCACTGAATGAGCCAAAGTCATCTTCTCCATCTTCGAACACCATGTTTGTTTCCACATTCTTTCCATTTGGTTTCAGAGACTGTTGATACAGCTCAACCAAATGCTTTGGTGTACGGCACAAACGAGACCAATGGTCTTTTCCTCCACATCGGTGACACACATTTGCTTGTGGTGCTTGTCTGTTGCCACCTCTGTTTCCCCCTCTTTGGTTAGAGTGTGAGTTTTTGAAGGAAACTCCTCGACCTCGACCATAGTCTCTTCTAGTTCCATGACCATTGTCACGACCACGACCACGACCGCGACCACGACCACGACCACGATTGTAGCTTCGACCACTGTGGTTTTGTTCTGTCCTATCAAAGGTTGTCACATTCGCTTCAGGGAATGGAGCAGAACCAGTTGGACGCAGACCATGGTTTTTCATCAGCAGCTCGTTATTCTGCTCAGCAACAAGGAGACATGATATCAACTGGGAATACTTCTGGAATCCCTTTTCACGGTATTGTGTCTGCAGGACAACATTGTTGGCATGAAAAGTAGAGAATGTTTTCTCTAACTTATCTGCCTCCGTGATTTTCTCTCCACACAACTCCAACTTGGAGGTGATCTTAAACAAGGCTGAGTTGTACTCTGCTACAGACTTGAAGTCTTGAAGCCTCAAATGAGTCCAATCATAACGAGCTCTGGGTAAAATCACAGTTTTCTGATGATCATACCTTTCCTTGAGACTATTCCAGAGGATTTGTGGATCTTTCACATTCAAGTACTCATTTTTGAGATCCTCATGGAGATGATGGCGAAGGAATATCATAGCCTTTGCATTGTCTTTGGCTTCAGCCTTATTTCCTTCCTTGATGGTTTCACCAAGCTCCTTTGCACTCAAGTGAATTTCACCATCTAATGCCCATGCAAGGTAATTGTCCCCACTAATGTCAAGGGCCTCAAATTCCAAACTCATGAGCTTCGACATGTCTGCAGGACATGTAAAATAAAATAATAAGAAAATTTGCATAAATGTACAAGTCATGTCTTCAGGACATGTGTAAATAAATCATGTCTTCAGGACATATATAAATGACTTGAAAATAATAAACCAGCATATGCATATACGAAAATAAAAAAAAAAAGGAAATTCGTTTTAAATGTAATAATGGGCCGTACAAAATAATTGGGCCGTGCAAACAATATGCTAATAATGGGCCGAAACAATAGACTAATAGTGGCCCTTGCAAACAATAGATAAATAATAGGCTGTGCAATTAATGGACTAATAATGGGCCGTGCAGTTTTTGATGCAAATACTAAATCAATAGAATATGATCGAATGATATTTGCAAAATTTCCAAAAGTGAAATAGAAATACAAATTTAAATCAAATTGTGGATTTCTGTTCCGGTTTTTTTGAAAAATTTTGTTCGGTTCGAGTTTTTTTTTTTTTTTTTGAAAATTTTAGACATAGTAAAAGAAGTTTGGGTATTTTAAAAAATTTATTAGGGTTTTCAGGTCAGGCTCGGGTTTCGGGTGAAAAAGTTTCGAGTTTTTTTATTTGGTTCAGGGTTTTCGGGATTTTTTGGATTTCAGATTCTCGGGTTTAGATATATTAAAAAGGTTTGGGTTTTTAAAATTTTTTATTAGGGGTTTTTGGGTCGGGTTTGGTTTAGGATTTAGATTTTCTTCACAAAACCACAACGTCACCACGCGCGGGTCCTCTACTAGAACTCCGCAACCTGATTTGATCCCTATAACTAAACTGATTCAGCTCGTTTTTTATAACTCCGACAATACACTTCGTAGGCTTGTGGCCCATTAAAATATCCTCAGTTTAAATTAGCCCATTAGAAATATTTGGGCTTTATAGTAAAACCCTAGACGCATTTTCTTATTCTCTCAATCAAGATCGGAAGTCGACGCCGCACTTCTAATCTTCTTCGACGATTTTCCTCGGTAGCTACAGGTTATTCTCCATCTTTTCTCTTGAACAATCTTCAATATCTTCTATACAATTGATTTTTCTTAGGTGAGAGTTGAAAACGACGAGAAAGATTTTAGTTTATCTTCTCCACTTTCCGTTTTGCTTGAAATGTAATTGACGAACTTTGATTGAACACTATCATATCCATCTTTAATTAGAACCGATTCTAATTTGAGATACACATCGAACCATCTGCTCATTGCGTATTATTATTGTTAGTATTAATTCTGATTTGGAATTTTACAGAGAAGAGAACTGAACATGTGTCGTGGAATCGCATCAGCTGCGAAAGGGAAGAAGAAGGGAGTTACCTTCACCATTGACTGTTCGAAGCCTGTGGATGACAAGATCATGGAGATTGCTTCGTTAGAGAAGTTCCTTCAGGAGAGGATCAAGGTCGGTGGCAAAGCAGGTGCCCTCGGTGATTCTGTCTCAATCACTCGTGAGAAGAGCAAGATCACCGTCACTGCTGATGCCAATTTCTCCAAGAGGTATATATCAAAACTAAACCTAGCTTTCTAATTTTCTTTATCTTGTCGGATTTGTCTATAGAGTTAAGTACTATAAGGCATTGTTTGATTCTGAATTTGATCAGATTTCTAAGTGTTGTTGTTTTGTTTGTGTATGTTCAGATATCTGAAGTATTTGACGAAGAAGTACTTGAAGAAGCACAACGTGAGGGATTGGCTCAGAGTGATTGCAGCGAACAAGGACCGTAACCTCTATGAGCTTAGGTACTTCAACATTGCTGAGAACGAAGCTGAGGAAGAAGATTAAGTTCAGTCTTTTTTTTCTGTATTCTCTGTTCCTCCCGTTGGTTTGGTTTTGATTCTACTACACTACAATTACTCTTCTGTTTTTGTCAGATATTATTTAGTTTTGATGAGTTTCTATGGAATCTGTTTTTTCTTACTCGATAAAACGGCCAGAGATTGCTAGTGAGTGTTGATTCTATGAAATTTCCTTACTTGATTAGAGATTAAGGTTATAGTCCAAAATAATTTGTTTCTGCTACAAATCAAAGTATACAAACTTTAACACAACGACCATCGAATAAAATGAAGGAAACCAAAGCTATACTGAAAATCTTAAGAACAGAAGAACTCATTGCAAATATAGGATCAAATACATACTATACAGGCTACAGACAGTTCGAGTGTTCATAAAGTTAATAATACTTTTATTATCATGTCTCTTCATAACGAAGCTCTTTAGTCTTTTAACATTATTATTCTGCTTATTCCTCAACCCAAATCACTTGTTGCTTTAAAACAACAAATCCGTTTACATTTTTCCCATCGCTGAATGATCTAATAATAAATCGTAGAGAAGTTACCATAAGGTTTCTTCTCCTTTATAAGTCGTCATCAAGAATCATCATAGAGCTCAAAATCCCTTGAACGAACTCGCTCTGTTTCAACTTCTCTCTCTGATCCTCTGCTGATAGACACTGCTTCTCAGCTTTCCTGCAAATTCCAGAAAAATGTAAGACATTAGCCAACAAGAATGATCAAGAAAAGGGTACGCAACGAGAATATCAAGATATGTAATGAGTGGAAGCATACCGTTCAGGCAAACTCTGGTTCAAAGTTTTCTTGGCAGAACTTGTCTCTGCGCACAGGCTCGACTCGGGGATGAAAAAGTCGTCAACCATCGGTGAAATGAAGGAAGACAGCAAAGGGTCAGCAGCTATACTGGTGGAAGAAGAAGATGATAAAACACGCGACGATCCTTCAAGCAAGCTCTGGAAATTCCCATCAGGAAACTCTCTCTTCAACATCGACAGCATCGACTGAGCTCCACCGCCTCCGACTCCGCCTCCGACTCCGCCTCCGACTCTTCTTGTTTTCCTTTTCCGCGTCACGTAATCACATTTCGTTAAGGAATCACAACACAAGTAAATGATCGTTAACAAAGTATAATTGGTTGAGATCATAAGTTAAAAAAGAAAAGGATATCTTGAACATATTTGCATGTTGGAGGGTTATATGAGCAACCATATCAGAGCTCACTTTCACCGCACAAACAGGACACACCTACAAGTAAAACAAAATGTATCAATAACAAAAAACAAATCTTGAGATGAGAGAAGAGGTTGATTAATGAATAAATATTGAAGAGATAATATTTACCCCATTGATTGTTTCCATGGGATGATCTTCGTCTATATGGCAGCATAGAGAGACGATGTCAAAATAGTCTGAGCAGAACGGGCAAGCGTACTCTTCCCTGAAGTCATCTTCTTCTACCTCCTCAAACCCCAAGAAATTGTCTGCTTTTTATGAAGAAAAACAAAAACTGGTCAAATACTGCAAAACTGTAATGCTACAACTACAAAACAGAGCCGTTTTAAAAAAAATGGGAATACTAAAACTGTGTTCCATTCTCGTAGTTACAATACAAAATATAAATGTGGTTTAGTAGGAATTTTCAAGATATGTAATAAACGATCATAAGTGGTTTGAGATGAAACTAAGCTTTGAACGTTTTACAGACAACAAGTTTTGTATTTCTTGTTGGTCAAAATAATAATCATGATTCCAAGTTCATACCAAAACCCAAATACAAACTCTTCGTATAAACTACCACCACACGCTTAATCCCTAAAGCCTCAAACATGAGTCAAATGTTTCAAAGACAGAACATTTTTAAGATAAGGTGTTCGGTCAATTTTTTTTTTCCCAGAAATCGACCAGACCCAATTCACCATCAGCAAAACAAACATTGAAAGAAAAATCATCATTTCAATAAGATGTCTTGCTCCAATTTTTCGGGAGCAAATGATGAAAACAATCTCTTTCATTCAAGTATTGAACCTCGATCTTTGATCAATTAAACGAAAACATTGAGCTCTCTATATTATTAGTTTTCGGACAGAATCAAGATAATCGAGACCTTATGCCTCTTATCATTCGTACATTAAAACTAAGGCAACAAAATCAAATCTCAAATCAAAATTAGCAAAGAACAACAAGGGAAGAAAAAATCGACATTTTTTTCTGTTTCAACTCACCAGATCGAGACAAGAAATCCAGCTGGTATCTCCTAGAGGCCGATGCGAGACGATCACTCAAGGAATCGGAATCCATTTTTTCAATCGAAACTCACTTTTCAACAAAAATAAACAAATTCGGAGAGAATCCGGGGAGATCAACAATTAATTCTCCGGTCAAAGAAAACACGGATATTCCGATTTTATGAATCAAAATATTCCGGCGAAATGCAAAGACGGATTACGAAGACGAAGAAGACGACGATTCTGCGTCGGTTTTTCTGGAATTTTTCTTCTCTCCCTTTTTTTTTTATGGCCTTCGTTTTTTTAATTCTTTGGATAGAGAGTGAGAGCCATATAGACAAGACAGACGAGTTCAATATATTTTCTTAATTGTGAGAGTTTTATTACATGTCTTTACTAATTTAATATTTTTTAATTCTCTCCCTTTCAACGGCCCGCACGAATGCATGCCGTTTAACCCTTTTACCCGCCGTGTATTTCCCTTCGGTAGTATAAAACTGGCACGATTTCCTCCTGACAAAAACGTCACGGTATTAGCTGAAAGCGTACGTGTCGATATATAACTGGTTCAGTTTTGTTATGTTGGTAAAGCAGGTGAACTTAGCCGCCGCAACAGAGCTTTTTTTTTTAAACTGTTTCAAAGGTTTTTTTTTTTTCCTAAACATTTAATTTTGGCAGGATTAGTGAAAATCTCAGTTTGTAAATCTGATTTTATTTTTCCCGTCCGAAAGTTTTGATCCCGCCGGCGATCGGCCGGTCTCCGATCACTCACATTGTGTTGCCGTGTTGGCAATCTTTTTCTTTCGCTTTCGGTGTCACATTTTTGGCGCCACATTTCTCGGGTCGATGATGGAGCCGCGACCCGGTCTAGATCTATAGCGAAGCTTATAGATAATTTGAAATTTGGATGTGGAGCTGAGATTCTAGGGATTTTTAAGTTTCGCGGTCATGGCGTCGAGGAATCGTACGCTTCTGTTCAGGAAGTACAGAAACTCTGTGAAGAGCGCCCGAGCTCCATTGGCGTCATCTTCATCGTTAACAGCGACGGAGATGAGTTCGTTGACGGGAACACGATCCGTCGTAGGCCCTGTTATCGAAATGGCGAGCACATCGTTATTGAATCCGAATCGATCCTACACTCCTGTTAGTACCGAGGATCCTGGAAATTCGAGGTACTCTTCTCACTCAGACTCTTTCCCGGTGAAATGCTGAAGAAATGTTTGACTTTGAGAGCTAGATTGCGTCTATAGTAGTTACAGAGCATTTTGTCTTCCATGTTTCTCCAGTAAAGGTGCAATAACAGTGGGATTACCACCAGCATGGGTTGATGTCTCTGAGGAGATCTCTGTGAACATACAACGTGCAAGGACCAAAATGTCAGAGTTGGGTAAGGCTCATGCCAAGGCGTTAATGCCGTCGTTTGGGGATGGTAAGGAAGATCAACACAATATTGAGTCTTTGACCCATGAGATCACTTTTCTTTTGAAGAAGTCTGAGAAGCAACTTCAGAGGCTTTCTTCAGCTGGTCCTTCCGAAGATTCCAATGTTAGGAAAAACGTTCAGGTTAGTCTTGACTCGATGATCGCTGCTCATACATATCTTCTTTTCACAACATGTACCATAGATTATATTATATGAGCTTTATTCTATAACAGAGGTCTCTTGCCACTGATCTCCAACTTCTTTCCATGGAGCTTCGCAAGAAACAGTCAATGTATTTAAAACGACTGAGACTACAAAAAGAGGTATGCTACTATTACTTCTTTGAAGGTAACTAACTTAACGTTGTAATCATTGCTTAGCTGGGACCTTTTTTTTGATGTTGCAGTTTTTGTTTGTGTTCTGTTTTCTAAGAAGCTTTGACTTGAAAATGTATTAACAGGATGGGGTGGATTTAGAGATGGATTTGAGCAGAAACAGATATAGACCTGACGAAGATGACTTTGGCGATATGGTCCGACTCCTATATCTATTTCATTCTTTCAGTTTATTGCCATTATTCCTCAAGTATGTATCTATAATTGGCATTTCTTTTCAGTTAAACGATCATCAGATGGCCAAGATTAAAAAGGGCGAGGAATTATCAGTAGAGAGGGAGAAAGAGATACAGCAGGCAAGTGCTTACACTTTGTCTATGTTCCTAATTGTTTGTTTCTCACCCATTGTTTTTTTGGCTTATGCAATCAATTATCATCTTTCTTCTTGTTGTTGTTCTGTGTCATTGGCCAGGTAGTAGAATCAGTAAATGATCTTGCTCAAATCATGAAGGATCTTTCTGCACTTGTGATTGATCAGGGTACAATAGTTGATCGGATAGACTATAATATCGAAAACGTCGCTACTACTGTTGAAGATGGCTTCAAACAACTGCAGAAGGTAAAAAACATCATAACTAGTGCACTCTCTCCTCAACATTCATGACCAACAATCAATTTTTTCTGGCAATTTTAATCTAGTGAATCGTGTAAAAAATTTCATAGGCTGAGCGAAGGCAAAGACAAGGAGGGATGGTGATGTGCGCGTCCGTGCTAGTCATCCTCTGTCTCATCATGCTGCTACTCTTAATCCTTAAAGAAATATTCTTGTAATTCGGACGGAGCTACTTCTCTTTCACCAGAAAGTTCCATGGATCATCATCTCCGGTTAGATCAATAAGAATACGTAATTCTTTCATTCTTTAGACGCGAATACCGCATGTTTTCCACTAGCGGTTGTTTCTTCTCTACCGTGTCGACACTGCTTCAGAGGATGTTAATAAGAAATTAAAAGAATAAACCCGATTATGTTCTGCCTCCATACTTCTTTTGCATTTTTACAGTACGAAGATCGTTTGTAGATTGCAGAGTAGTGAGTGCGTACGTAAATATTATTGTGTACACGACCACAAATAGTCACAGGTCAATGTTTGAAGAGTTTCATAGATCGTTATTACCAATGCCAATGACAATTTTTTAATGTTAGTTGTTGATACTTTCATTTTGGGTATGTATGGCCGGATATAGTACCTAATATGAAGTACAAAACATTCAACGTTGTAGTTATGATTACTTTATCAATTATGCTAAAGTAGTGATCACCATGAACGCAAGTTAAGTAGTTGAAATGTTGAACGATTAATGTAGTATTCATATACTTTTTAGTCTTTAAGATAAAGTCGTTTACTTTTTAAATGACTTCCCTCTCAACTAGGTAACTCGGACGTATTTATTTAATTTTATTCCTTTAGTTTAGGATAAAATTTTTGTTCTGTGAGAAGAAAATCTGATGTCAGAGAGCTGCAACTCTCGGCACTTCTCATGGCTCATGAAATCTTGCTTACCAAATCCCTCCGATGCCAAATCACTCGTTCCGATCCACCACCCGTCCACGGTGGCTAATCCTTCCGCCACGGCCGCGACCATCGCTTCTCTGCCGGACGATTTGTTGCTAGAATGTCTCTCCAGAATCCCTTCCTCCTCCATTCCTTCTCTCGCCGCCGTCTGCCGCCGCTGGACTCGCCTCCTCCTCTCCCCTTACTTCCTCCACCTCCGCCGCGGTCTAGGCCTGCTCCGGCATTCTCTTTTCGCGATCTCCGCCGTCGACTCCGGAATATTCGCCGCGGATTTGCAGTTTCAGCCTGAGATTGTGACCTGGAGAGTCAATCTCGCGGTTTCGAGTAGCTCCGTTTGCGCCGACGGTAGTCAGGGAAGTCTATCTCATGCTCGCGCAGCGGCGATTGGGCCTAGGGTTTATGTTGTCAGCAGAAATGCGGTTTTGAGATACGATTCGTGGATGGGAACGCTTACCTTGAGATCGCCGATGCTTTTCCCCCGCAAAAAATTCGCGATCGCCGTCATTTCCGGTAAGATCTACGTTGCAGGCGGCGGTGGTGGTTCGGAAGTCACGGCGGCGGTTGAAGAGTACGATCCGGAGAAGAATCGGTGGGAAGTGGTCACTCAAGCGGCACGGAAGAGATACGGATGCATCGGAGCAGCCGTGGACGGAGTTTTCTACGTGATCGGCGGATTGAAAATCGGGAACGAGACATCGCGCGCGTCGGCGGCGCACGTTTACGCAAGCTCCATGGATCTCTTCGATGTGAAATCGCGTCAGTGGCTGAGGAGCCGTTCGGTTCCCGGCGGTGGATGCGTCGTGGCGGCATGCGCGGCGGTGGGACACGTGTACGTGCTCAGCAGCCACGCGGTGGAGCTCTCGTTCTGGAGATTCGACGGGCGTCGTGGCGGCGGCGGCGCATTCGGGGAATGGAAAAGGCTGAAAAGCCCGCCGTTGCCGGCGCAGGTGAGATTAGACGGAACCGTGAGGTTTAGCTGCGTCGGGGTGGAAGACAAAGTGGCGGTGGTTCAGGTGGTGGGATGCATCGACGATTTGCTCCGGCGTAGTGGGAGGAGCGAGAGAGGACTGAGAGAAAGCCTTGTGTTGCTGTATGACACGGTGGATGGAGAGTGGAGGAGAGCTGCGGATCTACCTGAGATGATTACACGCGCCGCCTGCGCGTGTGTGGAGTGGTAGAGTGGGGCCTACGGCGCAGGATTAAGATAAAGAGAAGTGGAAAGAGGCTAACGTAAGCGGGGTTTAAAGAGAACAAAAACAAAATCATTATCCTAGGTGCACGTTACGACTCTACAAGTGGTTTGGATATCGAGGAGGCAAAAAAGGCAACAACGTCTTCAGCTCGTGACCTTATTGGCTGATTTGTTTCGCAGTGTAAACAAGATTTGATCACTTAAGATTTGGTACTCATTAGATAAGAGATTCTGTATTTCAACTTTAAATTTGGAGAAAGTGATTAACAAACTAAAGGATTGTGGTTTTTTTGGGGTTTGTGATTTATTAGAGATGTGCCCAAATTGAGCTTATCACTGTTTTGTACTGTATTGAATAATTACTTTATTACTTTGTAATGAGATTACATGTGTTTTTCATTTAATTGATTCTAAGATAAAAAATGAATAATAGGTTACATAACTGAGATCTTTAGCAGAGTTACATACATTATATAATGTAACAAACAATAGAATCAGAGATCAATAACAAAAAGAAGCTAAGAGATCAATGTTTCTAAAAATGTATCAGTCCTTCTTGTTCTTTGCCATGGCAGTAGTAAGGTCGGATAAGGTGTAAGAGCGAAGGACAAGATCAGAGAGTGAGACCTTCTGATTAATAGTGAGTCTCTGAAACACCTGAGATAAGAGCAACACATCTGACAATGCTCTGTGAGCTTCACCATCCCTTGAGAGATTGAAGTAATCCCCTAGAGCTGATAACGTCGCTTTTAGCTTCACTTCTGCCTCTGCCAAAGAAAAGAAAAAAACAACCAATCTCTGGTTTATCAGTTTCTCAACTTTAAAGACCAAACCAATAGAGAATGCTAGCAAATAGAGAACAAAAGCAGAGAAATTTTTTATACCTAGAGACTTCATGCAATCCCTGGCAAGAGGGAGTGAGTCAAAGAAGAGCCAATTATCAGGAATCTCGAAAGCGCAACGGTTAAACTCGTTGATCAAGAACTGGAAATCAAACGTTTTGCCGTTGTGTGCAACGATGATCACATAGCCTCCAGGCTTCTGTCGACTCTCAACATACCGCAGAAATATAGGTATCAACTCTTCCATCCTAACCAACACCAAAAAGAATCATCAGAGCTTGATCCTAATGGAAGCTATGTAAACAGTAAAACGAATCATCTATGAATGTGTATACCTTGGAACCTCGGGTCGAGAAACCATATCATTCCTGATGCCATGGATATTGGCATTGAATATAGGAACACCAGGGTTGACGAGAGTCTGAAACGTGCTGTTCTCACCACCAGCTAGGTCCTGAGCTGCGATTTCGATGATCCGAGACTTCACCCTACTCAAGCCGCTTGTCTCGAGATCAGTGACGATGACCGTGAGGAGGTTAGAGAGATCTTTGCTTTTAGCAAGCCGCTGCTGAAGAGTTTCGAAAGGCTGTTGTTGTATCTTGGTCACGCTCTCTGCGTCTATGATCCTGGTAACGGGAACTGCTCCTCCCAAGACACTGCTCTTGGTGTTGCTGCTTCTCTTGCTTCCTTGTGTAGTGGTAGTGCTTGAGTGTCGTCTGATCCATCTGCTTTTGGAACCATCAGCAGAGGAAGCTCTAACATCGAGCAGCTTCGGGCTTGAGTTGATCTTGAGGCAGCCATGGACACGTTCGTAGCAAGAAGTTCCTAATAAATGTACTCTGAATCTAGAGACTTGCGAGATTGAGATACACATCAGATCTATCTCTCTCTCTCTCTCTCTCTCTCTCTCTCTCTCTCTCTCCTTCTCTCCACCTAAATAAGCTCAAGAATCAAAGCGGCAATGTTTGATTGCTTGGAGAAACCACTGCTCAGATCTGTAGATCCAAAAAAGATAAAATATTAGATGTATGCATACACACACACACGATGCAACGTTAACAGTTTCACAACATCATCTCAAGATTTCATCAAACCCCTACAGGAAATTTAATAACTTTCAGATAAGTTTCGAGTTTCTCCATTGTAAGAGACATATTAATGAGAGAAAGGAACAATCCAAAAACAATAGAACACAATCTATTCTCAGTTATCAGCATAGGAAAGAAGAATGCGAGCAGAGAAAAAACGATATTATTGAATTGAAAAGCATGAATTTTGAAAATCCAATAAACAGTCTTTCGACAATGTACGGAGACACAATTGAAGCCAATAAGTATCGGCGAAACTCTGGACTTTTAATATTCTCCATCGTTATGACATCGAGGAAGCAGCAAAAAAGCCTAAGTTTTTACCTCGTTTACTCACCATCCAAACAAATTGAAAGTAATTCAGAATCAATAGAAAAGAATTTCCAGTTTTGAATCAGAAAACAGGTGAGGAACTGTAGAAATGACGAAACGAAATGAACAAAATCTGAAGCTTTTCTCATCGAGCAGGCCGGAAAAGCAAGAACTTTCTCTTAATTTCTCAGCAACTAAATTGACCCAGAACGAGAAATGAATCGAAAAGGAAAAGATAACTTGCCTGGTGTAATCCAAAATCGAAACGAAACTGCATTTGCACGAAAGTGAGAAATTTTAAGAATCGATAGTTTATAGAGACAGAGGGAGACCGATGGTGTAAGAGGGAGACCCGTTTAATCCGGATCTGTGACCCGATCCGTCTAATACGGATCGAAGATCCGAGTTGGCTTTTGTAAGAAGAGGTCATACAGGTTTCCACTTTTGGCAAATTTGATCCCACTTTGGCACTTCAGTTGGTAAACTGTGAAAAGTGAAAACATTATTCAAACTATTAGTATAGCTGTACATAAATGCCAAACAGATCTTTAGTCAAAAAAACATTTATGAATTACGCTTACAGTACTAAAACATTGAAATTTTTTATAATCCAATCATCAACTTATTCAAGAATCTTGTATTTTTTTAAAAGAAATGTTGATATCAATGTTAATGTCAAGCAAAGGAAGGAATATTCCCATTTGTTTAGGAAAAAGAAAAACATCCCAGCAAGTCACTTGGTTCAACTTGCGTATAAGACTTTTTTTAGTTAACTTGTTTCTGTTTCCAATGTATTTCTTTAGTATTTTTCTTTCCTGACGCTTTGAAATAATGGAGCATTTAGAAATAGTAATACCAGTAAACATTTGTTTGTTTGTTATCAGTAATTGAAATATTAAATCTGGTCAACGAGTTTTAATACGCCATGTTCTATCGTTTGCCACAGAAATCAGTTTGATGTTGAGTGCTTTATTCACGAGCTCTCTGACCATTAAGACCCGATTGCCTGGTCAACAAAAGCCCACTAACGTTATCATAAGTGCGACCTGGTATAATTTGTGTAGGCCCAATCAGAATAAGCCCAACTCAGTCTTTTGAAAAGCTCAAAGAGTGAATTATTTTAGTAGGTTGTTCTAGCTAGTGAGAGATGACAAAATGGCCCAAAGAGCGTCGACAAAACAAAGGACAAAATTGTCTTTTCGGCAAGATACTCTGTTGCTTTTATATGTTAGGCAAAAACAGAGCTACAGGACAGTAACAGTAGACACAAAGCAGCTTGTTCTTCCTCCTTTAGATTCCGTCGACGTTTCTTCAAAGCCACGCAAACATGTGATGATGCTACTGATGATGTTGATATTGATGATGATGATGATGTTGATGGTGGTGATGGGTTTATCTTCTTGAAGGCTTTGTGGCTGTGAATAATACGAATACCCAATAATTCTGATCGTCTCTGTTTCCTGAGTCTGATCCCACATGCATTGCAAAGTGACTACAAATTCCACCACAAAAATTAAAAGAAGAAACCAACTTAAGAATACTTATTGAATGATCTAATCTACTCTTAAGGCCAAGCAGAGTTATAAAAGTTTAGTAATTATAAGGTAGAAGAAGAGACCTTGGGACCAGCTGGTCCACCTCTCCACATTGGTGTCTTGGTGGTCTTGCAAACACTACAAGACCTAATTGTCTCCTTCTTTTCTTCCATTTCTATATCGTAATTAGAAGCAACATTGACACATGAGATAAAAAGGATGAACAAGATCATAGCTTTCTTGTATCCATCAAATCTAAAGAACCAACCTTAGAGCTCCTTTTTGATACCACAGTAGCGATCAAGAAGTCCTAGAGCTTTTTGGATACCCCTTTCAAGAAAACGAATCAAAGAGAGCCCCTTTCGAGGTCTGATCAGTATATACCCTAGAAGATTAAGATGGAGAAACTGTGGCAAGATTGCTTCTGTTTTTTTTTGTGCTATGAATCACCAAGCAAGGCTTAAGATCTCTTTAAACTACCCTCAAACCAAGGTGGGTGTTGTAAGAAGACGAAAATGCCCTTAGTTCTTTTTGATGAATAATGAGTATGTACTTTCTGGGAGATTATTGACACAATCACACAAAACAAAACATTCGCCAAATCATTGTCGGGTGGAAAGCCAAGTGGCTGTACGCACGACCAGGATGTGTGGAATTTTTTTGTAAATAATTGTGATTGTGTGTGTGTCTGTGTGTGTGTATTAGACAAAAGCAACTATGAAAGTAAATGAAACCACAAAGTCTGCAAAGTTGTTCACATGAAGACAGAGACAAGGGAATGAAGCAAAAGCCACCAATGTTTTCACTTACTCGTAGACTTTTTACGTATATTTTATTAGGAAGCCAATATACTTCTTCCCAAATCAATTCAAGGAAAGCAAAAGTGCACATATTCTAAACACAAGACAATAAAATAGTTTGTCTCTCCTATTTGTGTAGATATATTTTTGGGTAATACCACTAAATAACCTTACTATTTTTCAAATATTAACAATGGATAGTCACAGACTCACATCCTTACTATTTTTCAAAAGTTAACAATGGATAGTCACAGACTCACAGTCCATTATCTTCCCCATTCAATAAAAAAAAGCACATACGAATGTATAGTTGTATACACAGCCATTCTCTTTTTTTTTTCATAGCCTTAGGGGCAAAACAAATACAGTACTTAAAATACATAAAAATGTAAACTGAAATGATCATATTCAGCCTTTCTCTTTTTTTCATAACAAATATCAGACATGAAATAAAAAAAACGACAAATCCCCTACCTTATCAAACCACTTAGTCAGTGGCCGGGATCCATTTATCTAACCCTATTCTATCAAAAGCAGAAATATACACATTTTATACATATACATCTTTCTTTATTTTTGTGGAAAAATGTTAATACATATACATCTTTCGTGTACTCCAAGAAAACCACTTAATCTAATACGGCAGACAAGGCTTCTTACAAGATTTCCCTCGTCTCTTAGCATTTGTGTGTCTCCAAACCTCTCGGAGCTTGAAAGCTGCCTTAACCTTACACCACCTGCCTCTCGGAGATCCCGCACCGTTACCAAAACGAACATCATACGTTCCAGCTTCTTCCGTGCCAGACACGCTAACATACAAGTTATACATTTGTTGCTCCCAATCCGCCGCACCAGGTGACCAGTTCGAGCGCGTCTCATGATGGTCTTGGTAAGCTAAATTGTTCTCATGAACACCATCCTCTTCATTCTCTACATAGCCTCTTGTCTCTTCAGTTCGTGATGATTCGCCGTGTACCGGATCGTGTCCGAAGCTGTTTCTGAGACTCTGTAATAATTTTTCGTCCATATGAAACGTCGCAGTTGGTGAGTTTTCGAAACTCATCACCATTTCGGGTTGGACCGTGGAGCTTGCAGTCTTGAAGTAAACAGTCGACATCGAAGAGTCTGATGGGCCCGAATTTCCTTCAGTATCCAAAAGACCGAATAAGTTAGTCAATTCTACGTTAAAGATATATGTCCAACGACTATTAGGGTAAATTGTATACCTTGAAAGTCGATGTGCTGCAAAGCAGGACAAGCTACGCCAAATCCGGGATCTTGCGTGCATTGCAAGGACCTTTGTGGATGAAGACCCGTAAACGGCCTAAAACGGTTTAGGTTTAGATAAGCTTCACGCTTCAGCTGTTCAAGCTGATAGATAGGTAGCTGATCGGGGTTTACAACCGTGCCATCGCCGAAATACACTTTGATCACTTCATAAACAGAGTTGAAGAGAAGAGACACGCCATGCGCGTTTGCGTTGTATATGTAACACTCTGTTTCATCCAAAACGCAACGCATCGCGTGGGATACAATTGCTTCCCATGTTCTCTTTGAGATTCCTACACCAAGTATCTGTTCAACAACAAAAAGAATATCAGTTCTGTGAAAGATTATTAACATTAAGATCCATTTAAATTAATTTTAGGTTTATAATATAATCTTACGCTGTATAACTCATTTGGAGCTATCGCATACAAACGGCGGAAATCCTTAACGGTATAAATATTCTGTTCACCCAAACGCGTCGCCGAAACGCCATCTTTCGCGATTTTCTCTAGTCTCCAAACCTCGTCACTGGGATAAGGAGGATGGTGCTTCCTATACGCTGCATAACCAAAAAAAGAAAGAAAAAAAACGATTAATATAAATAACCCTAAACGCATTAACCGCGACTGAAACTTCTGACGAAACGCAGTAAACGCTACTTACGTACTCCTCGTTGGTCTTTACACCCAAAAGCTTCGCTCCTCGCCTCAACGGCTCCACCTCCGGTCAGTCTAGCACCTAACCGGAACTTCCGGCTCCTCGTCCAGCTCGAGTTATCCGAGAAAGAGACGTCTCCGGCGATCACTCCGACGCCGTCTTTAAGCGTCACCGTTAGATCTCCGGTGAGTAACGGCCGTTTTCCTTCGCGTGACTTGAGAATATTACGTTTGAATCCGTCAACGTTCCAGTTTTCCTCCGTGAAGTCGGCGTTCAGCGGCACGATCTCGAGCCGAGAAGAAGCTAGAGGTCCCGAGACGACTCGAGCGTTCGTGGTGACGTCGATGAGCTCGATAGCTACTGGAGATTCGTCCTCGGTTTCGATCTTGCCACCCGTGAATATCGACGGCGGCGGCGAGTTAATGAATCGCAGCTTGTATCGTGAACGCGACGACGACGTTTCCGAACGCGGTTGCTCCATTTGGGCCCACGACGAAGAGAGGTAAGGTTGAATACGACGATCAAACTCCTCTCGAAACTAAAATATAATTAGTACTGAGATATTTAGTCACTAGTGATTATAATATTATAACATTTGCAACAACTGCATGCACACATGGTTACTTATATTATGAAATAGAAAGAAAAAAAAACATGATTTATTGAGTGAATTGAGATAAACACCATCGTTATGATTAGCTTTGTTGAGTGATCGGAATATTCGATTACTAGTACTATTTTAAACGATTTAATTTATTTATAATTTGATATACTACAAGAACTACAGTAGACTATAGGGACCATTGTTGATACGGACCACAAAATTTAACACCGGAGAGAAGAGAAGAAGTCGGTCAAAGTTGGTGGCTATGAAGTATGAAGGAACAAGTAGTTAATTTTACTAATCCCTTGATTAAGTCAATTAAGACTAATTAATTAATTAGGTGGTTTATGCAGAGTGAATTGTTTAATTGGAGACTATACGAAAACTCACAATTCTTCTGACCATGTTCTCCATCTGAACCATGAATTGGTTATTTGACCGATCTCTCATCACTTTCTTCACAGCTCTGTGGATCACATGAGAAAAAGAAACTCATAAATTTAAATCCTTGTTCGAAAATCAACCGATAGAAACGGATATGTTTTTTTGTTAGAAATTAAAACAAAAATGGAAACAAGATAGAAACGCACTTCTTGAATGTGAAGTTACTAGCTCTAAATCCAGTGTACCCACCGGCCCCATGAAAAGGGCTGTTTCGCATCTTCATTGATCACTTTTGGCTTTAGAGAAAATCTTGTTAGATTTAATATCTCAAAAGTCTTTTTGTTTTTAAAGAAACTCTTTGTGTGTGTGTGTGTGTGTGAGAAAGAGAGAGAGAGAAGAGAGCAAGCAGTGAGATGAGATTGTGAGAGAGAGTAGATGATGCGATTATATAAAGGGCTTTGAGCATTGACGAAGCAACTTCCAGGAAGATTCGTCGTTGATCTGCGTAGTTTAGTAGTGCTATTCATCAACCACGCCATAGTTAGTTATTTAGTTATATTTTGATTAATTAAAACAAATAAAAAGGCACTTGTTGTTTAGTGTCATATTCATATACTTATTTGAGATCGTTAGTATTAAATCAATTGCTGCTTGGATCATTTCCAACAAACTGAAATCAGCTTGTAATAGAAAATCCACTCAAACCGGCTAAACATGTACATGTATTTAAATCCATATACAACTGTATAACGGTTTCTTAAGAACATACCCGCATTTAGAATCCGATCGGATATAGAGTGGAGAATCTAATGATTTCAGTTTATTAATTTCCTCTTTCTGCAACCTACTAATTGCATTCAGACTATTCTCGTAAGAGGAGATTATAAGAAGGTAAGACGTGTAGATTAGTGGTTCTAGTAGTGCCTTTGCTGTGTTATTATTAGAGAAAAGTTAAATTTCATAATTTTTGTACTTGCTAGTTTATCCTTTTACAATATACTGTTTGTAGTTAAAAAAAATGATCATAAGCAATATCAGAACATAAACTTGACAACGTGTGAAAACGTCTCTAGTTATCAGAATTATACATTTTTGGTAATTTTTCCTATCGACTCTGATGTTAATTTTTAAAACTATTAAGAAAACTCTAAACATTCATTTGTATAGTTTGTGAGCCAGCATCTATGTTTGAGAATTGCATCTTAATTAAATGTTACAATCTACGCGTTTAGAATTATTACTTTAAACGCTTTTGTCCGTTTCCCAATCATTGACTAGACCTGAGAAAAACTAACTCTTTATGGTGATGCTACTAGCATGCATAATCAAACCCTACTCATGATGAGTCATGGTCTAATTTACTTCCATTTAGTTTCTAAATTCAGGCTTGGTTTAATCATGATAAAAAAAAGTCTTCCCATTTCATTTTTAACCTTTTTACAATAAGTATAGTTTTAGT